CCCCAAAACCCCAAAACCCCAAAACCCCAAAACCCCATTTACAGATGTGGGATGAATTATCTAGAAAATTAAAATCTGCCTCCAATCATGGGACCAACATAAGTGTTCCTTTTTATCATTGATGGTTCATGTAAACCTCTTGTCTCTCTATGTTTAAGGTTAGTTGATAAGAGATTAACACTTCTCACAGGAGTTTCATTATTTAAAACTCAGAATTTTTAGAGTAATAGGCATGATAAACAATAAAATTGGTGAATAAGTTACCTTCTAATTCAATCATGACCTATTAATTCTGAAGATTTGGCAGCAGTTTGGTTTCACAGGTTTCATTTGATCATGTATATCTTCTTATCGTAACACTTAGGACAATAACTTTTGCTCATTGGGATCCATTCATTTCTTCTATACTTATTTCTACAAGGGTAACACATAAAGGAGAGGGAACCACTCTTGTGAGTCTCTAAGTTTTTATATTGTCTTTCTTTTGACATTCTTTTTGGGTCAACTGCCCTACTCTCTCTACAATCTTTGCACTTTGGAAGAGTCTTCTTTCTCAATGACTTTTTACAATTCTGACAATGAGGCTCTTCTAAGTCTCATTTTTGCTTGGCCTTGTAACATTTCTCTCATAAGGAAACAAGATAAGAATTTTCTATATTTCAGTGTCTACAAATCCATTTATCTTTGAGAAGATTAAATCTCTCTTTCGGCTTAAATGTATTAACGAGTTCAGATTCTTCATTCGAGATATCCGTGTTCAACTCTCTTCGAGCTCTAACTGGTCTTACCTCCCTGCTTTCATATTTTGGAGGACTCCGATTCTTGTAGTATCTTTTCTGATAAATCAACTCTCTTATAATTTCGTTGTCTTTTAATCAATTGTAGCAATAGTAGCTACTCATAGTGTTGATTTTTGTGCAATATTCTCATTGCCATTCATCATCTTTAGGACCATTATGTGAAGATCCGGCTTCTCTTCTTGATTCCTGCATCCATTCGTAGTAGTCAAAGTCATCATCATCTTTACCTTCATAAGTGTACTTATTCTCGATGCTTTGAGGTTTGATAATTCTGACGAACTGGGTTCCAGAAGTTTGACTTTCTTCTACTTCTCATTTATGGGTCTCATATCACTCAAATATAATCAGGGTTGGGTATACATCTCTGTATTTTATTTCTTCAAACAAGTCACTGAAGTCTTGTACATCCTCTTTGAGGTTATAGGTTCCACTAAAGAAACCTTGGACTCATTGTTTCCCTCTCTCGTCCTCATATCTGAAGGCTTGGAGAGTGTAGACTTCAGAGCACTCATAAGCTGTGTTCCAGAGTACAACATGTTTAGGGTAATACTCCTTTACTATCTTGTCATCTTTTCGGATTTTGAACAGATCGCTTAAAGTAAATTCATTTTTCTTCATTATTTTTCAGAACAAATCAAGGTTCTGTTTGGAGGAGGCAAACTCTGCTCTTGGCTTGTAGAAATTCGAAGTTGATGATATAGATGTCTTATCATCTTCCGAAAATCCCTCAAATTCTACGATAAATATTTCAGGTTGGTTCACGATTCTGAGGGAAAGATCATCTCATCAATCTCTAGAAATTCCTTGGTTCACTAAGCTGTCGAGCACATGCTTTCCGATGTGATCTTTTAAAATATCGGTGAAAGGTCTTCTCACCATTTCATTTACATCCATTCTGTAAACAAGAGGTAGGTCAAGCTGGGCAATCTTCGGTCCTTTTATAGTTTGGAATTCCACTTCAAAGCTAAACCTAGCCATTTTGGAAATCTCTGAATAAGGTGAAACCCAGGATCCCTCTTTTCTTTCTTCTTTGCTGGGAGTTGAAACTCATTCAGAGTTTAGAGCTTCAAGAAGGAATTGGCAGCAGTAGGGAAGAAAGTTTGTATATTTTCCTCCTGGATCTTTGGTGTTCTCATTCAGCAGATCTGCAAATGTGAGAAACGATTGGTAAATGTCATCTTCAAGTTTCGATTTTAGCCTTCCCAATTTTTTAAGCTTTTTCTCAAGGTCAAATTTCTCAACTCTTCGAGTCTCTGGACTATCTAAAGCAGCTGTTACATGAATGTGCCTATTTTGGATATAACTCAGTTCTTTAGTATTCTTAATAATCATCTTAAATGACTTCATCAAGTCACTGTCCTTTACGCTGTTCTTACATGAGATCAATATCAGAAAGGAATTGGTGATCTTTGTGTTAATAAATATATCAAGAATAGCCAGGATTTCTCTTCCTACATTTTTATCTCGAGTCGAGGGTTTGGGAAGATTAGAAGTCACTACAGACTTCAAGTTATTTCTCATGTCCTCCATCGTGGTATCACCTTGCATTTTTATTGATTATAACCAGCAATCTTTTTACCTACAATTGGGGTTTTGGGGTTTTGGGGTTTTGGGGTTTTGGGGTTTTGGGGTTTTGGGG